TTGCAGTTTTTATACTGTGACCATGTTTGTGCTTGCTTTATTGGGTCTGATGGCTTAGCAATCTGTATTTCAAAACAGTCTATAATAATTTGCACATTAGAGTATCTTATTTTAAATACCAAAGGTAAATTCTGTTTTATTAGTTTTGGCTGTGGATTATAAACAAGATTTTGAAAAAAATTCGCCAGTACTTCAATACCTAGGAGAATCATGCTAGACAATTTTGTTCGTGATAATTCAAATAGGTCAATTTATGTGCAAGTTTGAAGCTCTTTTGTTGGCCAGTCTCATAAAATATAATGATGTGCTCGTATTTAGCTACACGATCTTGGAAATGGAAGTCGTAAGTAATCAAATTGTTTCGCACTAGTTTTATGAGACGGGGTGCATGAAAAATATAATATATTTTTTTGTCGTTGATAAAGAAGTAAGGCCGTTCAATGGTAACAGATCTATTTTTTGCAGCGTTAAATAAATCAGATCCCATGTCGGATACAAATAATCTAATGTTAAGTCTTATCCCGAATAGTTGTTCTAAAAGTTTGTTCATCCATTGAGCTATTTGGCTATAGTTTCTGCATTCAGACAGTAATGCAAATCCTACGGGTTGCTTCCAGTTGACAAATATTCCACGAACGATCATAACCAAAGCATTTTTCGCAGGTTCTGGTGACTGGATTCCATCAACCTCGTGAAATCCTATAATTTTATCTTTCTTTAAGTTATAAAATTAATTAGCCTTTAAAGTCATAGCATCAATCACAACTGAGCAATTCTTTTCCATTTCATTCATGGCATCAACTTTTGTTTTCATAATTGACATAAGATCGTCATTTACTTTAGTTGTTATTGGTATTCCATGTTTATTCAATGTTCTTGGACTTGTGAGACATATAATACTTTGCAAGAACCTGTAAGCTTGTGGACTGTTATAATATAAATTTAAGCAAAAGATTTTATAATTTTGGTCATACCTATTTCCAGTAAAATTAAATTTTAAATGAGTCTGTGCTTTTACCACAACAGCTAACTCTTTAGGTAGAAATTTGTCACACAATTCATGGAATGTCTCTATTTGATATTTTACAGTTTTGTTATCAATTTCGTATAGTTTGATTCTTTTTCTGCATTTTGAAAGTTCTGATCTTAATTTTCTTTTTTGTGGCGTGGCTGATGAAAGAGATGTAGAAGTTTGACAAGTGCCACTTGCTAAAATTGTTACATTTTCTTCTGTTTGTGTACTGAAGTCGACCAACTTCGAAACTTCGGTTAATGTTTGTGCGTCTTTTTTTGTAAATGTGGTAGATTGAGAGATGGTAATGAATTATTTTTAAGCCTTTTACGACGAGTTTCCGTTAGAATATCCATAGAACTAAAATGTTCTTCAAAAACTGTATAGTTTTGAGGTGGTTTGTTTATCAATTCTTCGCGAAATATCTACCGAAGCCATTGAGAACGTCTGAAAAAAATTGCAAAATATTCTCTCTGTCATTTTCATCAGAAAAGGTGCAGGTGCAGTAATCTGCTTAATAAACAATAATATGTCCCGTACAAGCACAATCGGATTTAACACCCTCGAAAACCGAAGAAACGACACCCATGATGAAAAGGTCAATAATTTGTTGCAGCCGCCATCTTGGATTTACATTTTGATAGCATTATCGGATTTAACACCCTCGAAAACCATGAAAACGACACCCCTGATGAAAGAGTTGAAAGTAAACATGTACCTACGGACTACGAAGACATGATTTTAGTACCCGAGTCAAAAACTTTAGTAAAAAAATATAGGATAATTTAAGTTTACAAATCTATTGTGATCGATCACACATTTACAAGTAATTTTATAAAATAAATCATTCTTAGCTGTCACTATCAGCAGGAAGTTTAAAAAACGATAGCTCCGGTTTTGATGAAACTGAGTTCAAGCAACCATACACTATGCATTTTTCTAAAAATTACTCAAAGTAAACTCAAACGTGACCACTCGTCTTGAAGCGACACGCACTACTCATGCACTGCGAGAATAGCTTATCGGTCTCCTAGATGCGTATGTTTGTGTGAGTGTGCCATCTTCGAGCGTTTATAGGCAGTTTCCGTACTGTTCGTTTATTTCTACTGTGCCTAGTGCTAATGCTGTCCTATTTTTTACAGATTATTTTTTTCTTGTGGCACATAACTAATTTTCATTATTTTTAAAGGTATTGAATGAGTCTAAACATCCTAACTCTAAATTTATTTATATCAAGAGCTCATTTTTGATTACATCCAATGAAGCTCTGTTTCTCTTTTTCTCGCCACTTCACATTCATGACCGAAAAGACTCTTTCTGTAAATGCTGAAGTGGCGAGAACAGAGAGTATACCTCTATAGCTAATATTTTTTTAAACAATTAAATTCTTGAGGACATTTTTTAAAAATATATTGCCATTTTCCAGCGGTGCATTTTTGTATAAAGTCTAATGAACTTGTGCTACCTAGATTGCATAGGGCATTGGCTAACTCCAGCCTAAACTTACATAAGTTTAGTGGTTTTCTATTTACTGAAGTATTATTATTTGTAGAAGACAGAGGGTTGGCTTGCGAGGGATTTGGAGAAAACCACACAAACGCCTCTGTTATTTCACTTTTTATTCACTTCCTTTATATACTTTCCCCGCTAGGGGCGCTGGTTGTACTCGCCAACGTCAGGTTTGACGAGCAACCTAACCAAATTGATGTAACGAAACCATAGCGCGATCTATCTCGATATTAACACCCTCTATCGAGCGACGTGACAACTCTGACTAATAATAATTTTATTATAATTAAATGTTGATCGCGCTATGATTCCGTTACCGCTCCGAACATTATTTATCATAAATACTTTTTTGTACATGAGCCATGCATTGATTACAGACATCTAAAAGATGAAAAAATAATCTATTTGTCCATTTCCTACTTTTTAGAGTGATACAATATCTCCCAATAAAACTGTCGAGCAAGTCCACTCCGCCCATGTGGGCGTTACAATCTTTGATAATTTGGGGACAAGCTGCTAGTACTCTTTGTTTGCGGGTTTTATCATACCGATTGATTGTAGAGACCGGCTCTGCTCCTGTATATGATGAAAGTAATGTAACGGGTTTGTTATCCTTCCAAACCAAGGCGCATAAATCAACTCTATCTACATTATCCACTGTCTCCACAAAGTGATTACGGGGCACGTCTCGTTTCATAATAGCTTTTTTATCAGGTAGCTTATATAGCGGAGAATACCGCCTTGAGGAACGCCAGTCTGCAAGTGGTTCCAATTTGATGAGGTCTCATCAACGTGAACTGATTGCTGACGCTCCTGAAGATAAGAAGAAAACCATTCCAGTGCGTCATCAGAAACCGAAAAATGGAAAAGGATAGCTAGTAGGATATCATGGTCGACCATGTTGAAGGCATTTGAGAAGTCCACCAAAACCAATACTGTGATCTCAGTGTCCTCCATTCCTGTCTTCACATCGCCAATGACCTTGAGGAGTGCAGTTACAGAGCCCAGGCCTGAATCCAGACTGTAGAGGACTAATAAGACAGTTACGGTAAATGAAATTCGAGAGTTGATTATGGACACAGGCCTCAAGCACCTTCGACAAAAAGGGAAGGATGCATATAGGACGAAAATGTGTAGGAAGACTAGGATTAAATATTTTTGATATAGAACGGACATAAGCTTTGCGCCACAAGGATGGGAATATCTTAGAATACAAGGACCGGTTTACCATATGAGGAGGAGGTCCAGTATACCTGTAATCATATCACGCGATATACAGTCACATCCCACAGCCCTGGATTTAATGGCGAGGATAGTCTTCCGGATATCTTCCAACTGCACTGGTGTGAAACAAAAAGGACTAATTGCACAGGAACGCATCATACCGGAGATAAAAGAAAAGGTTAATCGCCTGGTCTGAAGATCCAATTTAGGTACGGTGGAGAAATGGATATTGATCATTCAGACCAATCGAACCAGGAAGATCCGGGTGTCGCGATCTACCAATACCCAGAGTTCCAAGGAACTTCCAGATATCGGCAGAAGAAGAAGAGGAGATACTGTTAAGAATATGACGGCGTTTAGCATTGCGCACCATCTGATTACACTGATTCCTAGCAATTTTGAAGGCCGTCCAATTCTCCTCGGTGCGATCGCTCTTGTGTTTACGAAACGCTCGGTCCCTGCATCGCATCGCCATCTGTATACCTCCAGTCATTCAAGGCACAGGAGCACGCTTCAATTTTACCTTTTTGATTGGGGCGTGACGATCATAGAGGATAGTCAAAGTCGTGTTGAATATGTCTACCATAGTGTTGACATCAGTTGCTGCCTCCATTAGGGGTTCCCAATCTATGGCTGACGCATTCTCTCGGAGTTTATCAACGTCCATCTGCGCAAAACAACGCCTATACAGGACCCTAGGCTTTACCTTGGGTGGTTTCAGGAAATAGGATAGGAAGATCAGGTCATGGTGGGAGAATCCCGGGGCCTCCTGCTCATAGATGATACACTATAAAATAACTACAAATAGGCCACTCAGATTTTCGTTTTGTAAAAACTGAGTACCCAAGTTGAGAGACGGCGCTGTCCTCAATTTCTTTTTCGCCTACGCTCTAGCTAGATGGCACTGTTAGGTTTTTCCTCCTGGTATTTTTAATTTCCTTATACTGAAGAATGATTGTAATTTATTTCAACAAAATACATGAATTTTTATGTGTATATAAAATAGCACGATGACCATAATTCGATGACAAGATCAAATTCTAGTCTTATCAAAGGAAATCTATATTTCGAAACATACACATAGGAATTAACTTCACAAAATAAGTAACAATCATTCTTCAACATAAGGAAATCATTCTTCAAAATCTATCTATATAATACATATATATCTATAACTGAAACGGAATAAAATGGTAGACAAAAATGATAAGTAATATTTGGTTTTTAAAGAATTTATTTCCTTTTACAACGGGCAGTATAATAACTTAACGCTTGTATTTTTGTCGCATTATTATGACACAAATTTGTTTTTCCTCTAAGTATTCTGTTGACATTAGTACACCAGCTATTTATAATATTATTTGAAACATTATCCATTAGGAAATTTCGCACATTCATTTTATGAGTCACACAAGAGGACTGGGATAGATTACAAAATATATTAATTAATTGTTTCATTGTACCCTTCAGACGTTTCTGCTGCGGTGCCTCGTTTAATTGTGTTTGAATGATCATGCAAACATCATCTACAAACTCGCACAGTGCCTCCGATGGATAATTAACTCGTCGTGTACCGGTTTTGTAGACACAATTATAGAACAATAGGTTGCGGTCACCGGTGACCGCTTGGTGTTTGACAGTTTAAGTGATCTTCTGGTATAATCTCTTTCTAATATATAAGGTGCTCTATAATTATTTGCCACGGCTTTAATGGGAGGTAGTGTTATGTTTACAGATTACAATTGTGAAGAAATTTCGTATTAAAATACCCTACTAACCGTGAAGTTATAACAGTTCAGTTTTGATTTGTAATAGAACGCTGACGATTGTCCCAATGAACAAGGTAAAACTGCCTGCAGATCGAAAATGGCTACTATAGTGTTAGAATCATTTTTACACTGTTCTAGGTCTTTTTTCAGTTCTATCCGGCTTAAACTTTTTTCTTCTAGGTGTTTCTTATACTTATCTTGTAGAGGTTGCTTATCTATAGCATTCTTGTATGCTTCACATTCATCGCATTGACCTTTCGGGGGACAAATAAACCAATATTGAAATCAGAATTAAAAATTCTGAAATAGGCGTCATAATTTGCAAATTCCTTTCCAGCTGCTTCCCGAATTTTTTGATAGTCTCGATGGAGCTCCGCTATAGTCAAACTTCCATCTATGTATTCTCTGGTCGTATTAGCTCTCAAATAATGGCTATCTGTCCTTGGTATTGAATTTATATGATCATGAACTGATTTCAATACTTCATCACTTAGTTTTCTTTGTTTACCGTGCTTACCACGATTATCAGCGGGGCTCATTATATACATTTCTTTATCAGATACTTTATTAGCTACATTTCGTAATGTTTTTTCGCCAATAGACAATGTGTTAAGCAAGAAGGTCTTACAAACCCTGACATCGTTGCCGTTTATCACAAAGTGGAATGTCGAGTTTGGTTTTCTAGCTGGCTTAATACAGGCGTTATTTGCTGTGCTAATCTTGAGTCTTCGGGTTGCAGGCGTGTCTTTTTACGCAGGATGCCAGAAAATCTCTGTCTTTGGTGGGTGCCTAATGCCCAGTATGATTTAAAAATATCAGGTAGAACTTTGGTAGAACACGAAAGTCGGCACGAGCTTTCGCATGGTGGACCTAGAGATTTAGCTGGAACAGTCTGTCCTCTTTTTGTAATATACTCCTTGCGACAGTTTTTGAGACGCTTTGAAAGAGCTTGCTTCCACTCGTTTGGATTTCTCTGCCGTTTTCTAGACTGTCTTTTATTAGTTTCTTGGTTCAACGATCTTCACTCACGATCAATATAGAACTTGGTTGCTGGTTAGCTCCATTGTTTTTTGAGGAGTTATCTGCACTGGATGAGCTACTTGAACTTGAAGAGTCACTTGAACTAGTCATAACACAGTGGAAACAAAATCAATGTAACCGGTAACCTCAAACAATTATTAATGTGTGACATTGACAATTTAAGACTTTTGAAGTTTTTGACAGATACGATATTGACATCTGCACCTGAATCTATAATGCAATTTAGTTTATGCTTACCCACGTGTATATTTATTTTCCAACTACCCGAACTTGAATTTTCTGAAACTTGACTATTTTTTATTCTTAAATGACGGTATTTAGACTGACAATTATGAGATTTCTTTGTGTACCTGTTATTTGTGTTTTTATGAGACTGTATGACTGTACTGACATTTTTATGCGACTTTTCGACAATATGACTATTTTTATTTTTATTTTGTTTGTGTAATCTCTCAGAGCAATTAGCATTATCATCATGGAGATTTACTTGACTTTGGCTATTTCTTGTGTGTGTGTGTAATCCGACTACTGGCTGTTTCTGTGACTGACTGTATGACTGTTTTTGTGGCTGACTGTATGACTGTGCGTGTGGATGGTTTCTGCTAGATTGACGACTTAATATTCCAACTGTGTGTTGCGAATGCGACTGACTTACATTTTTATTTTTATAACAGAATCTAGCAAAATGACCAAAAGAGTTACATGACCTGCATTGTACTCCTGTCGCTGGGCACCTCGCTCGATGAGACTGCCCACAGCGACCACACGTTGACGTTGGCTGCCGCATCAGACTCGGGGACCTCCGCGTGGCCCGATGTGACGCCTGACTTGAAGCCCGCTGTCGACAGACTCGTCGACCGCTGCTCCTTTGACTTAGATGCATGACCTCTGCACCGTCCACGACGCCTGACTTCTTGACGATTTTTTCTGCATCTTGCTGTGCGACAATAAGAGTTTTCGCCAGTTCTCTCATTCTGTGATATGTTAGGTCGGGCTCTTGTAGCAACCTTTGCCGAATATGTGAGAAGTCGATGTGGAGATTGGCGATAAAAATATCTCGAATCATCGATTCCCTTAGGGTTCCGAAATCACATTCTCGACTTTTATTTTCGAGATCGGTTAGGAAGTCGTCGATGTTTTCGTGTTCAGCCTGCTTACGTGTAAAGAACGTGTATCTGCACATGGTCAGATTTTTTCTCGGCTCGAAGTAATCATCGAATCTGGCTTTAACTTATTTCAGCCTACCCTCGTCGATATTGATATCGAACGTATTAAAAATTTCTATGCCCTTTGGACCTATGTGGTGCAAGAGGATTGCCACCTTCCTCTTCTCCTCAGACTTGTCCAGACCGGACGCCAGCATGTATAGCTCCAAACGCTGCCACCATTTCTTCCATGCCTCCGCGTTGTTGGCTGTTGCCTCCGACGACACCACGAGGTTTTTAATACCGGCCACATGGTACCTCGCGTCGCTTATTTCTTCTTTGTTCATTTTATAGCTTGCACTTACGGACGTTCTGGTTCTTAATAAACTTCTGACACCATGTTATGTTGGAGGATTAATGAATTGTAGACAGATTAATTATACTTGGATTTATTATAATAATGTGCAGGGCGCACGACGTGTACAAACACTTAGACTATGACAGGTAGACAGCGACGTTGATGACAAGTGTTCTACCTTATATAACACATTATAGTGAGGGGGCGACTACTTACTAATTAGTGATGTTCATACATGTAACACTTGTGGTGATGAGATCGGTGGTATGTTGACGAATGAACCTGATGGTATGTTAATGGATGAAGTTGATGATAAATTGATAAATGACGTTGATGGTACGTTATTAGATGAAGTCAATGGTGTGTCGATGAGCGAAGTCGAGGGTATGTTAAGAGATGAAGTCGATGGCATGTTGATGGAGGTAGGAAGTGCGTTTTCTGTGATAATGTTTGTATTTGGTGGGTCATCTTCTACAGTTTCCTTGAAAAATAATGGCTCTTCCAAGTTACACAAAAGTGGTTCAGTAGACTCATTAGTCTTGAAATTAATAGGCAAATCAAATATTTCTAAATTAGTTTGTTCAGACATCTCAAGTAAGCTTGGAGAAATAGGACTGCGAGTAACTTCATCTTGTCGAAGACTTTCCGGGCAGGGACGATCGATGACAGAGCTAGGCAGAAAATCTTCTTCTGAAAATACGTGCCTGTCAAAGGGATAAATTCCACACTTTGCAAAGGAATTTACTATATTTCTTGGCGTCATTGCTTTCTGAAATGCAGTTCCTATTATTTCACCTAAGTCATAAATAGTGACTGGCCTGCCAGGATTTCTCAGAAGCCAAGAATCAATAGCAGCATTATAAAATGTCTTGAAAGGTCCGTATATACCTACGTCAAGTGGCTGTAGCTTAGCAGATGTATGGGGATGTAATGTCAATATATTCACCCCTGCATTTTTTGCTAAGTCTAAAGCTTCTAGACACAAATGTGACTCGTGGTTATCCATAATTAAAATACATGGATTTTCCTTTGATGCATTCGTGTGTTTGAAAAATGCTTTATAACTTCTGGGAAAATTGAAGAATTCATCCATCCAGTCGGTGTCGCCAGGCCAAGAGTTCCAGGTGGAGTGTTTTTAATCATGTGGTCTTTGAATGTCTTTCTAGGAAAAACCATCACGGGAGGCAAAAAATTCCCATTGGCACTTACTATACAGCAGGTTGTTACTAATGTTCCTCTTTCTCCACTTGTTACTTTCCCGATAGTTTTCTTACCTTTTGGCGCAATCACTTTTTGAGGTTTTTGTACAGTGGTGGTAGAGGTCTCATCCAAGTTAAATATTCGTGTGCCATCCGCAAAGGCAGGACTACGTTTCATTAAACTCTCCAGGTTATCATAAAATTTATTGACATTATTTCTATTAAAAGCTGTAGCCCTGGCAAGACTGCATGGCTCGGGTTTTTTCAAGCTAATATCATGTCTACGTCTAAAAGACATCAACCAGTCTTTGCCAGCCATTTTGTTTGCTTCCCACGAGACAGGCATTTTCAAATTGTTTATTTTAGCACATTGATATGCTACTTGTCGGCTTTCTTTGGCTGTCAGCCCATAAAACAAGAGAGAACAATGAGTAAAGTACTCTTTGAGAACTTGTTCTTGTGCCGCTGTGAAAATTTTATTAACGGCGTAATTTGGCTCCAACTGTTGATCTTCAAGAGTTTCACAGTTTTTAGTCTTCCAATAATATCTTTTGAGGGTAGTAAATGCAACACCAACCTTCTTAGATGCTTGTCTTATCGAGTCTCCATTTCTTATTAGTAACAACCCTTCTTTAATGTTTTCTTGTGTTGCGTTTCCAATTTTGTGTTCTGTAGATCTTTGGCGTGGCATTCTATCAACAAAATATAATAATCAAACAAATTACCAAAAACAAAATCAAAAGGAAGACATAGAACTGAAAAAAAAATTGAAGTACACAGTGGCTCATGAGTCACTGTGTACCGCTTTAAATTGAGTCACTGTACACAACTCCGCCATTTTGAATATTTTATATTGAAATGGATCGAAAAATTAATCAATAAACTGAATTTAATACACAAAGGCAATCTGTATAAACATAACTATAAGACAGAAACAATAATTACAAGAATTCTTAAGTGGTTTAGCTATTAAAACAAATCAAACTTACCTTAAAATATAATTTTGTGAGCACTAAAAAAAAAAACATGTGGTGGCACCACTGTTTGGCGCTTGAGTCGCCGGCTGACTGGTTTGTACGCGTCCGAGGAACGTTAACTTCAAACGAGGGAGGGAGACAACAACTATGCACATCCTTTTCCAGCCAAAGTAGTAATGAGTCACTGTAGCCGCCTGAGTCACTGTTTCCGCCTAGACCCTACACACTACTGACAGATTGAACTAACTTTCTTAACAAACTTTCACCTGTATTATCAGCATGTTCTCCAAAAGCGCCGCGCGGTGTGGTGGTTGATCAGCGGCGTCTCTGCTTTGGTTGCACTTTCTTTCAAAAACACTGGCCATTAGAACGTTCTTTTACTGTAATACACATTCAGATGCCGGGTCGTATAAACGGGGACGCCATTACCGCTTACCGGTACCTACCGCGTCGTCGCGTGCGCTTGAGGTTATTAGCGAATGTGACATCTGTGATGTAAATGTCAGTGTCAAGCATGCGTTTAGTTCGCGAGATTTATTTTTTGTACAAATAATAATACATTTTTTTCCATCACATTTGTTATTTTAATTTGTATATATATATATATATATATATATTTATTGTTATTCTATTATTATTCCATATATTTATTTAAAATTTCTCTAAAATTACATTTTTAAATACTACAGTATAAAAAATAATATTTAAAAATATAAAAATAGGAGCCGACCAGTAGTGGGAGCATGGTCCAAGCTACCGGTGGTTAGGGCTCCAGAGATAGAAACCTCCTCACAATGCGCGCCGTTTCAAGGAGAACTGCCTTCTGTATCAGGCCCTTGACCCAACTGCCTAACGCTAGCCTCCTAAGGTGGTCGTCGAGGCTATTAGGGATTAACCCATTGGCCGACACGACTATCGGCACAATGATAGCCGAATCTACATTCCACATGTCGACAACCTCGTGAGCCAAATCAAGATATTTGATTTGTTTATCTTTTTCAGCTTTCACGAGGTTCTCATCATGAGGAATAGTGATATCGATTATCATCGTGCGGCGCACTTGTCGGTCTATCACCACTATATCAGGTTTGTTGGCTATAATAGTCCTGTCAGTGATGATAGACCGGTCCCAGTACAACGTGATATGGTCATTTTCCAGAACTGGGTCGGGCACATACTTGTAGTACGGTACCTCAGACTCAACAAGTCGATAGTGTAAAGCAAGTTGCTGATGGATAATCTTGGCTACTTGATTATGCCTATGCAAATATTCACTGTTAGCCAAACGACCACAACCAGAAATAATATGTCTAATGGATTCACCAGGACTATGACATGCCCGACATATGTCAACCGTCCCATCCTTAATTATATATTTCCGGTAGTTATTCGTAAGGATAACTTCGTCCATAATTGCACAGACAAATCCTTCAGTTTCTCCAAAGAGATTACTGAATCGTAGCCAAGACACGGACGCTAGAAAATCTACACTGGGCCCATGAAGGGCCCGGAAGAAGCGTCCGTGGAGCTCCTTGCTATGCCATACCTCCTTGCGATCATTGACGCTCAGTACCACAGGTTTGCGCCAGTTCTCTTTTGCCAAGGATAGCGGAGTGAATCCATTGTCCACCGCTGCTACTTCTCGATGCATACCCTCGTTGACTTTCAGGAAATATTCCCTGAGGCTGCACACCTCACGGTTGTGAAGGGTCTTAGCATTTAATAAGCCTCGACCACCACACTTCCGCGGGATGTACAACCTCATGACCGACGAACGAGGGTGATGCATGCGATTTGCAGTCAGCAGGGTCCGGACTCGCCTATCCAGGGTGTCAAGTTCAGTCTGAGTCCACTTGAGTATACCAAAAGAATACATTAGGACTGGCATGACCCAACCGTTAAAGGCTCGCACTTTGTTTCCGCCTGATAAGGAACTTTTCAGTACCTTATTCAGGCGGCCAAAGAAGCGCTCCTGTAACGATTGCTTCATGTCCGGTCCATTAATGCCTAATCCTTCTGACATACCCAGGTACTTGTATGTATCGTTTGCGGAGAGTGATCTCAGCTTTGTGAAATCTGAGAGTTCTAGTCCCTCAGATTCCACAATCCCTCCTCGCTTTACATGCATGACCGCACACTTGTCTACTCCAAACTCCATTCTGATGGAACTACTAAATTTTTCAGTTATATTCAGTAGTTCCATCAATTGTTTCTTGTTTGGAGCAAACAACTTGAGGTCATCCATGTAAAGTAAGTGGGATATAACTAGACCCCTTCTCCGCAAAGGATAGCCTAGCCCTGAATCCTCCAGTAGAGTACTTAGAGGATTCAAGGCCAAGCAGAACCATAGTGGGCTCAGGCTGTCACCCTGGAATATTCCTCGTACTATCCTTACAGGTTCTTCATTCCCTTGGATTTGTCTACATCCCGGATAGCAAAGCACAGTGCTCCACTGCCTCATACATGACTCCAAGAAGGCGCGTAAACTTGCATGTATTTTATACAACTCCAGCACCTTCAGGAGCCATGTATGTGGCACAGAATCATATGCTTTTTTATAGTCTATCCAGCATGTAGACAAATCTTTTCGGGACCGACGAACCTGTTGGCTTACAACCATATCAATAAGGAGTAGCTCCTTAGTTCCACGAGACCCCTCCCTACATCCATTTTGAGATACAGACATGATGGAATTTTGTTCAATATGTTTTGTTATTTTTGTCCTCAAAATGGATGTAAGAAGTTTATAGACCGTTGGTAAACATGTAATTGGTCTATAATTTTTTGGCTCAGTGGAACTACCTGATTTATGGAGCAGGTGGGTAACTCCTGTTGTTAGAAATTGTGGTAACGACCCAGTTTCCAAAGCTGCCTGGAAGTGTAATGCTAAGCGAACGTGTGAACTCTTGAACCATTTAATCCAGAAATTGTGCAGTCCGTCCGGCCCCGGTGATTTCCAATTCGGGACCGAACAGGCTGCAC